TCTTAATTTTTTTTAAAGATCTACTAGCTTGTTTTTATAATTACTATTGCTATTGTGTACGTACATATAAGTTGTAAGTACGTACATTATGAATAATCTAAAATAAGCTACGAAATACGAAATTGATGTTCATTTCCCCCCTCCTCCATAAATAGTCAGCCAACCTTCTCTCTCCCTGTATGGTGGGTCATCGCACCATGTAGTAGGGGGTCGGCTCACTCTGCAGGCTAGGTATTACTACAGTTATCGGGTTTTTGTACATAGCTTTCTATGCAACTTGAATACTAACGGTAACACAATAAGTTTTTGAATATCACTACAAAGTAAGGATAGCAATATTTGAGACGTTAAATGTTTAATGCACTACTTAGTGAAGATTTTTTCATACCAAATCAACACTAAGGGGCCCTTAGTGATCCTGAAATGATTCTAATTGCGGAGATGTAGTACAAGTTTAAAATATTATTCTATTAAGTATTGTGGTGAATATTAAATATTAATTTTATTCTATTATTTTTTTTAAATTGCTAACATTCGATTTTTATTTGAAACGTGAAACGAAGTAAACCCAAACTTAAGTTCAAATTCACCGACGTATATTTTATCTGAAGAAGTTTACCGACATTTCTGTAAACCCTTCAAACCGCAACCTCAAGAGAATTGCCTCTTATAAATTCCACCAAAACGCAGCCCTTTTCTATTCTCGACAAAATAAAATGATATGGTAAAAATCTTAGTGATAAATGATGAAAAAGATGATTTAATTATTTGTTTTCGATGTAATTACTAAAGAACTAAGCCGTAGAAAATTAGTCTATTAGCTCGACCTGAGTCAAATTTGGGCTTTCTTTGCATCAAAGTCCGTTAATTATTTATGAACTAAAAAAACAAAATCTCCGATGTAATATCTATAAGATTTGTCTCTTACCAAGATAGCATACTCGAATGGACACCTTGTCTTTAGGTTGAAACGCAAAGAACACCTGGAGCGCCACACCCAGGAGCACTTGGAGGTTCGCCCCTACCACTGCAACGTGTGCAGCAAGGCGTTCAAACGTAAGGAACATCTGAACATACATCTCGCGATACATAGCGGCGGGAAACCACTTGAATGTGAAGTTTGTCGAAAGAGTAAGTGTACATTTATATGTTCACGTATAATTAACATCATTTATCTAAGACAAAGTAATTGGAATGTTATTTTAAATAACAAGAATCATGGTCGAGAAAGAAATGTGAGATTCCTTAGACAAAACGGTTGTAAAGTTCAGTTTAATGTCGCTGGGTTTTCAATGTAAATTTCAATATATGAACTCTAATACTGCCCCTCTAGTAAAGTCGTTTATATGTTAGAAAAACCTATATATCATATGGTTGTTTGTGAACTAAAAACATTTTTTTTCCATCTACGTACATTTGTGTAATGAATCTTTTCATTTCTTAACAGCATTCTACCGCAAAGACCATTTACAAAAGCACATGTTGACGCATAACAAGCACTTCCTGGGCGACATGCTGGAGCGGCTGGCGGAAAGAGACGGTGTCACCATCAAGCAAGAGATGGAAGAAGAATTCCTCACACCCATTATAACCAGCGTCTCTGGGAGCGTTGGCGATACTAAGATTAAAATGGAGGTAATTAAACTTATTTATAATCTGTATCCATGCAGCATGCATGCATTTACCATGGGTTTCCGAATCCAAAATCTCTGTATATAATAATCCCTGTCATTAGCTTTGACGAAACAAAGATAACAACATGTTTTAAACGGAGATTTAGACTTCAGTAACCCAAGGTTAGTGGTTTAAAGTGATATTGTATATTTTGGATATGGTCCTTAACACGTGAAAATGTCACACGGTGACGGTCATGAGTAACATGGTCGACGATTCTTTGGTCCTTTCTAAAACTACTGATTACGAAGTGGTACTGTGCTAAGACTTAAAATAATTTAATTTAATAAATGTAAAGATGTCGAATTTGGTTATATTTGAAGTACCGAAAAGAAGCGAAAACTTTGTACCCCTTAAGGGTATTGAACGGACGGATGAACGTGACATTTCACACGATTAATGCGATGAAAAAGTTCATAAAGCTATTTTTTATTCAACATTTTTGATTGTAGAGGTTAGGTCATAGACAAAAGGATTGTAATAAAAATCGAACTTAATGAATTTTGAATTTAGAACAATGGTCAACCAGTACTTTTGAAATAAATACTGCACCTACTTTACTTTAGAATTACGAAATGAACTTTTTAAACAGGATTGCTTTGACATTGCAACCTGATATGCCAGTTATATAATCTGTAGCATAGTTTAGTAAAAGAACTTAAAGCGCAGGTAAAATCCGAAGGGGGCTTACATGAGTCACCCTGTAGCCTTTAGGTGGGTTGTGGGGGACGGGAGGGTCAGCAAGACCCGACGCACGCCTACGGTTAAGCCGGCCAAAGGCACTTTGCTCCTCGCATTTACCGTAGAGACGAGAGTTTATCTACATTGTAGATATATATTTGTAAGCCAGGTTATTCAAGTTTAAGGTCTTTTATTTGTGGGTTTAACTTTGCTTACGTAAATATGAACGTATGGTTGGAAGATACCATAAGACATAGTTGTATATAGGGTGTTCAATTTTTGAAATGGGTACGGTAGCTTCAATATTTATTTGAAGATCGAACAAATCTTTTCTCTTGGCATAATATTTAAACACCCAATAGTAACAAATTATATCGATTAATTGATGAAAATTTGTATAATACATATACAAATGATTTAATTATCAGCTGTATTATTTTTAATCCAGCATTTAATATAGCGCTAAATCCTCGTGAATTGGACAATATGTAATACTTCGAGGGTTACCACATCGTTTAGAAATTTTAACTATATCTACTATTTTAGATGCCTGATGTAATGGAGGAGTCTGAATGTGACCAGCCTATCAGGCCTTTGCCTGTGATCAATGACAGCGCGTACCAGAAGATGAGACCTTACGTCTGTAACATATGCAACAAGAGATACAAAAGACGAGATCATCTGAAGGTGCACAGCAAAACCCATACGAAAAAGACTAAAGTGTGCTCCGAATGTGGGTTAGGTGAGTCAATCAATAATTAGTTATTTTAAATCTACATTGAGGCATTCCCTGAGTGAACATTTAATTAATCTGAGTGAGTTAGTAAGATCTTTCTTTCGGCTGTGTAAGAAAAAATTAACTCGTCGCCCTTTTATTTTAATGGGCGGCCAAAAATACCATTCTTTTTGTCATCACCCTGTAGACCGAATTTGCACTATGCAAACCCGATTGGCAATCCTAGTTAGGACGACGGTTCTAAAATTTTTTTAGTATTTTTCTAGTGCAGAACCAGAGTAAATCAGTAAGAGAGATATTTATGTACTTTTACGTTCTGTTCGCAAACCTGCGAATTTCAGGCATTAGGTAAAGGGGGGATTTATATAGCTATGTGTATTAACTGTGGGTATATAAGAGTACTGGAAGCAGGATCAGTTAGAAGGGGGTAAAATAGAGGTGGCACAAACTGCACATAAAAGGGGAGGGATGAGGTGGAGGTTCGATGTATAGTATACTAATTTTAGTAATTAATATGACGTATTTACTATACTTTCTTTTGACATATTTTCACCATTGATAGTTGTGCAATTCTATAATAATTTTTGTATTAAAAAAAGATAATGTAAGTAAGCGAAAGACTTTTAAGAGGTCTAGTATTATTTTTTTTATTATATTTTTTTTTAATTTAAAATTTAGCACTATTCTTTCATGCCTGTGATATCTGTATAGAAAAAAAAAAGAAAGTACGAAATAGCCAATCGTATGGCGTCAGAGAATCCATAGCATCTCACGTGGTTTGCCCTAAGGAAAGGATGTGCTATAAATAGACAAGCAGGGTAACTTTCCTTGTGTCCGCTATTACGCTGTGATTGCTCTTATGCCTAGCGACAATTACGACCCCCCTCGGTGTACAATAGGGGGTCTGCGGTCTTAGAAATATGTACAGTAATATCATAAAAGGATTTATAAAGAGTTGATCATCGATTGTTGTTATGGTTATCTGATAGTTTAGTAAATAGTTTTTATATTCCAAATTTAACATTGAAATACGTAATGATTAATCTATGAAAAGTTTGGGATTTTCATTTGTAATCTGTGGTTTCGTCTCTTATTGATCCAAAAAAAACTATCTCGTATCAAAACTACAATACTTGTCTCTGCTAAAGTGAAAACGGACAGATTAAATAATGTAGCCTGTCCTAAAAAAAGGAGTCGGCTGTCCCATTTAACGTGGACCCGGGACCCTCCCCTTTCGGCGGGTGAAATGTGCCCTCTTTTTTGGAACGGATCCCGCTGGGTGCGGGCGTAGGTAGATTTACTGGGTAAATGGGGAGAGGGGGGAAATGAAAAAAAAATTCTGAATAAATTACAACACGTGTTGGGGTTAACGTATATTTTTAAAAGTGTATTCTAAGCTAAATTGAACATTCTTATACATAGTGTTAGGTGTATTAAAAAAAAACACAATTAGTAGCCTATGTGTTCTTCCAGACTACGCTCTACATCTATGCCTATCTAAATTCCAGTGAGAACCGTTCAGACATTCTGGAGATACCTTCAAACATACATCCATCTAAACATTCGCATTTATAATATTAGTAAGAAGTAAGATTTACGTCTATTCATTGTGTTTAGGTCAATTTACGCATCTAATAAAGAGATGACAAAAAAGGCGGGAACTATCGCAATACGAAAACAGACAATACAATAAAGAAATTTTAACGTAGAAGATTGTCAAACCCATAGTAGATAATGGGGACCATAAGTTTACACTACTGAAACATTTACAAAATCGTTGTCTTTCTCTTACTCTGAGTTCGCAACATGTTTTTGCGAATGTTTCGGTTGTGCGAATTCGGACTAAGTTTTGAAAGACGTGCGTCGAGTTCGTTACGCAAATGGAGTATCCAAAGACCGTGCACGATGTGTTGGTAATTTGAAATACCGGTTAATGTGGTGGGTAAAGGGGGAGTGACGTCACGATCTTTGTTGCGATATCGCGATGTGTTTCGAAATGGAAACATTATTTGTAGACAATGGTTAAAGGAGGCTCTTGTTTTATAAATTAGGCATAATACGTGTCTAATTTAATTTATGATGGCAGTTTTTATCTTTGTTTTTAAAGATTTCCAGCCTATGATGTTTTTTCAAACCATAATTAAAAAAAAAATATTTTTTATCTGTCGTGTCCCGAGCCATATCAATGGAAGACCTTACCGTACCTAACGTCTCCCCTATTTTTTAACGTTAGGGGAAACTAATACAAAATTCATTTAAGTATTGACTACTTATGACGTAGTTTAAAAAGTGAAACTCGGTTAGGAGCTATATTAAAATGCAACTAAGCAACGTAATTTTCTAACCTTGGTTTATATTTTTGTTTTTAAATATATCATCGTTTATCAATATTTGAAGTATCTAAAAGCTACAAAAATATCATTTACTGCCACAGAATAATTAATTTTTAACTAAATATGACGCTTAAGTTTTAGTGTACTCATAGTAAATTTACACTAAGACCTTAAAAATTTCGTTGTAAATTTGCTAGAAAACTTTAGTTTGTTAGTTCCGTTGTGTACTATTTTCGAACTATTTGTTAAATAGAAAACTAAATACCTTCATGAATGTATGCAGTAGGTGAATATGGCATCACCTTATTCCACTTTCTGTACTCCAAGGCGACTGTACCTTCATATCATGTTATACGATTTTCCTTACCAAAGTAGGCGAGGAAAATTGCATTATAATTAGTTACCCAGGTAATGTCTACAATGTAACATTATATACAGGGTGTCTCAAAAGGTTACGTACATAGGAAGGGGGAAGATAGGGTATAGGGGATAGGTGGTCACAAGGGTCACCAGAAAAATAAAATAAAAATTCCCCTCTGGGTATTAAAAAAAATAAATGGCATTTTTTAAAAACTTAAAAATTTTACACCTTTTGGGGCAATTTTAATTTTCTTTAAAATCTTTGTTAGTTGTATTGTTTTTATTATTTCATATTGATAAAGGGTTATTGACGATAACATAATAGCTTTTTTTAAATATATTTGTAGGTCATCGGTTACAAAATTGCCGGTTAAAAAAACTTTTAGATTTTGTATGTAAAATCTACACTTAGCAATAGTTTAAGTAACTATTAAGCAATTGAATGAAAACTTAGTAACTTTCTTTTATACCTAGATAAGTAAATAAAGTAAGATTCTGAGATTACTTAGTTTGTCATAACTTTTAACAGATAACTGCTGAAAAATTAGTACAGAACAATATTGTTCGTAATTAGGCAATGCATTCGCAAGTCTGCAACCTTTTAACTTGCAAATGATAGGGATATGAAAACGACCACTTTGTACTGTCACAAAATACATCGGTCGTGAACAGAGGGAATGTGATTTTGTACAAGAATACCCCTAAAGTGAAGTATTTTAAGCACAAACATGAAACTTTATTTACCAGCCCATACTTAGTAAACCTCTGGGTATATGGATGATACATAACGTCAACGTAGTAAATAGCTCGTGCTAAATTCCCGGTCTCGTGAGTTTCCACCATTTAAGGGGGGGAGGGTAAGCCTTTAGGGAGGTACCTCCTACCGACCCCCAGGCAACGCCCATGCGTTCGACATCGAGAAATGTAGCAAGTCGACATGGAGTTGTGTTCACGCTAATTTCAAAAAACTAGAATAAAAATACTAACGACCTAGCCTTCAACCATACAGTGTTGAGACTCTAAGTGAAGATTCAGTATCAGAATTGTACACTAAGGAATTTCTTATGTAACCATTAAGAGTATTTGGTAGTTAATCTGTTGTTATAAAAATGGATAGGTCTCATTTACACTTAACGAATAAGCTACGTACATAAGAAGTGTTAAGACAATTAAAAAAAAATACAACATCCAATCTTATAGTAGTACAAAATTAATTACAAATTCTAGACTATTATAACCTGACGGTATGTCAAATGAACTTTGACAAGGGCTAAATGGCCTGATAAAAAGATCTCTTAAAACTCCTTAACCATTTGGACCCGTAAAATTAAAATTCAATCCTATTAATTACGTACTGCAAGTTCAACCACGCATATACACATAGCGACAACTGAAATAGACATATACAGCTGTGGTAAAATCAATACTAACGTAGGTCTTGATGTAGCGGCAGGTCCGTCCCTTCCCCAGGGCCTCTTGACCGAACCCCACCACTTACGGACCTGACCTAGATACAATGTTTGATCGATGACCATTTTGTTCCACATGCCAAAGTTATCGTCCAGCCTAATAAAATATTCCTTAAAGCATCTAAACGTGCATTCTATTATTTAGTAATTGAAAGATAAAAAAAGTAAAAAAAAAATAGCCGCAAAAACACAGTTTTAAAGGCAAAGGTTTTTTTATCCTTGTTGACTTTAGTAACAGTGGCTTTTGCCGTACATACGTTATAGGACTTTTAAAATGCACACGGTCTCGCAGGATTTGGCAGCATATAGCGTCTTTGTTTGCCGTCAATTTAAAAACTATAGTTTACCTGCTTATCGTTTCACATATTCTTATTCTTTATATCTTACTATTATGTGAATATTTAGATGGATGGATGGATGTTTGTTAGAAGGTATCTCCAGAACAGCTGCATAGATGTCGCTGAAATATGACATAGATGTATAAAACATATTGTTAAAGAACACATGGACAAAGTCGCGGGCGATAGCTAGTGGAATATATATTGAAACGAGAAATCTCAATAGTAGAACATTTTGTAAGTAAGCTTCGCTTATTGTCCTAACTTCAAAGCAATTCCCGCCAAAAATAGAAATAATCGTCTCCGTATTTTGATGCCGCAGTCGAGGCAAAGGAGCTCGTACAACCCCAGCGACCTTACAGACCCACCCTTATTTTAGGCGATCCCCATGGGCAAATGCTGAGGGGGAGCGAAGTAGGGGTTAGGGAGTAACCGTACTTGTTAGGGGAGAATACAGGGGAAGGGGATTTAGATCTCAGTATAACCCCGACTCAATGTTGTTGGAAATGAGAATTTTACTCTTTTTAACATCTGGTTATTTTATAGAGAATTTTCTTGTGCAGACTTTTAGAAATTTTGTTTTTTTGATAAGCGGTGATAATATTTTATACAAGTTTGTCGACAATGGAAACCCACAGATTAACAATTTTTTTTATATTATATTTGTCACTAAATTTAGATAATCCGGAATCGTACGAACAATGTTCTGCAGTCGCGTCAGAGCGAGACAAATATATAGAAAATACATACATTTGTCTCGCTCCGCTTATATTTAACTGTTTACGGTCTGTCCTCGGCGGTATTTCCAAACCAATACGACTTAGGGACCTTTAAGAAGCGAGCATACTATTTCCTTAAAGGCCGGCAACGAATCTGCGGTTCCTCTGGTGTTGCAGATGTTCATGGGTGTCGTTGATCACCTTGGTGTTCCCGCCGCTCGTTTGCCCCCTTCTCTTATAAAAATAATGAACTTAAAGAATTGCTATAATTTTCTGTTAAACAAACTTGTAAACAATATTGAATTGTTCGTTGTCGGCAGCATTTCACTACGACGGTCAACTGTTGTCGCATATAAACTCGGTGCACCTGCAGGCGTACCGGCTAGAGGGCGACACTGACGGCATCGCAAGGCTCAAAATCATGCTCGGAGATAAGGCACAACTACTCATGGCGGTCAGTTAACCTTTTAAGCGCCGACACAGTTTCGCAAACTATTCTTGTATGTTACATCTACGTTTTGCATAGAAGTCATGTTTTACAAATTTTACAATCGTATCAATAATATTATAGTAATTTCACTGTAATGTTTTATCGATAAGTTGACATATTAACTTTTAAAATAAGTAGAAAAATATTCAATGGATTACTAAATTTTACTTCATGTCTCATATAATTCTAAATTAATATTCATTCTTCTCCTTGACAGTCTGATGGTACAGACATGCTAGTGCCGAGGGTCAGGAAAACATCTGATGAAAGACCGCATGTGTGCCACATCTGCAACCGCAAGTTCAAGAGGAAACAGCACCTGAAGGTGCACGGCAACGTCCACATGCGGGTCTCACAGCCCACCATTTGGTGCTCGCTTTGTAACGAAGGTGGGTTTGACTATCGGCCCCTAAAGGGTTAACAGCTGCCTCCATACAAATCAGCTAGCAAGAAGAAAGCTTTTTTTTCATTTAACTATATTTCTATGATATTTTTTTATAATGTTATTTTGGTTGTATTATTTGTTATAATTTCAAGTATGTTTGTAGGTTTCTACGCCAACGATCAGTTCGAGCGGCACAAATGCACGCCCTGGGAGCGGGGCGAGGTGGGCGGGGGAGGAGGGAGCGGGGCCACACATGAGGCCAAGAAAGAGAATATCTGCTCCCAGGACTATGTCGAGGTATGTACACTAAGACCTAGGGCGACACGTGCTTAGGCTGTATTATAAATAAGGCAAGAAGGGAGGTAGTCAAAGAAAAGAAAAAAAATGGGAATTTTGAACGTTGGGTTTTTCGTTGTATCCTCAGGAGGGTACAATAGAGGCTTTAGGGTAGAGCAAGGGAGGGCAACCGCCCAGGGCGCCCTACATGGGGGGGGGGGGGCGCAGGCTGTGGCGCCCCTTTATATCTAACGCTGTGGTATTATGAAATAGTTTTCATCAATATTATTGAGATTTTTTGTCTTTTTGATTGGAATTGAAGTTAAGGGAATAAATACGCAAAAATCTCGCCCAGGGCGGTGGCCCTGAGGTGTATTAAGTATCCAATTAAAAGTGTAATGTAAAACTACAGACTCGCTTGAAATACATGCCTAATTCTTGTTGACAGAATGTGTTTAAAACTATTATGGTTTGGTTCATTATGTAAATAGTATTATTTCTTGATGACGTCACAGCGGTGACGAGACTGTGATGTCATATTTTGGTATGAAAATGCGATTTAAACTTGTAGGTGATAGAAGAGCCTCAGAACCTCGGTAACGGCAGCATAGAGGACCAAGAGCTCCTGGTGCCGAGGCAGAGTAACGGTGATGTTCTGGGGGATGTAAGCGAGGAGGGGGAGCTGGTTGGGGCGGCGGTGATGGGAGACATGGGGGAGATGGGTCTGCCGGTGCCGCGGCGCGTGTACGTGTGCAAGTACTGCACGAAGCCCTTTAAACGGAAGGATCATTTCAAGATACATCTTCATATACACACCGGTATCAAGTCCTTCTTCTGTCCTGTTTGTGGGAAAGGTCAGTTACACTTCTTTATTTATTTCACAGAATAACAAGTAATAACTATTGCTTCCAGAGCCATCTAACGACTCTTAAGTTCTTTTTTTGTTTTTTAACTTAAACTTATTGGACTAAGCGCCATCTATGTTAAATTTTTGTAACTAAAGTACGCCCAATTTAAAGCTTAGGGGCCAAGATATTGATAACGCCTTAATTTTTTTTCTAAATTAAAACGTAGTACTGTTTGTAGCAACTTAACTTGGCCTTTTACAACTGCCAAAATCACAAAATGAAGTTCAATTTACAATTATAAGTGTTTTCGATCTTACTAGCTGTTGCCCGCGACTTCGTCTACACGGAATTGACAAAGAACTTAATAAGTAGCCTATGTGTTCTACATGTGTGTCAAATTTAATCAAAATCCGTGAGTTGTCCGGATGTACATTGAAACATCCATCCATCCATCTATCCAAACATTCGCATTTATAATATAAGTAAGATTTAGTAATGATTTGTTTGTGCAGGTTTCTACCGCAAGGACCACCTGCAGAAGCACACGCAGGTGCACAGCAAGAGACGGCCGGCACGTCGTCGTCTCCCAGACCTCTACCCCATCAGCGTCATCAACAACGAGGTCGTGCCGGAGATCACCATACATGTCAGTCACACATTTTTATATTTCTACTAGCTGTCGCCCGCGACTCCGTCTGCGCTGAATTAAAAAAATAGTAACCTATGTGTTCTTTCAGACTACATTTATGCCAAATTTCATGAATATCCTTGTAGCCGTTCTGGACATACGTTCTAACAAACATTCACATTTGTAATACTAGCTGTTGCTCGCGACTACGTTCGCGTTGAAACAAAAAAATTAATAAGTAGCAAATGCATTCTTCCAGACTATATTCTATATGTGTGCCGAGTTACATCTAAATTCATTGAGCAGTTCTGGAGATATCTTACAACAATCATCCATCCATCGATGCATCCATCCATCCATCCAAACAATCGCATTTATAGTTTTAGTAATATGTAATTTTACCCACTTTTTTTTTATTTCCAGGCACCATCGAATACGAAGCTGCGTGTACCGCTGCAAATTAAAGTGCCGTACCAAATGGTGATGTCAATGGACAATGGTGAACAACGAGCTATCACCATAGACCCACAGGCCTCGACCAGGTCACAATGAACTCCGTACTGTCGTACTCAGAGATAATGGCCACTAAAGCGACCCTTAGTGAAAGTAGTTAGACAATTTTATCATATAGTTATGCAAACTAATATTATTTTACGATATATGTCTACCCCGAAAGTGGTAAGCGTGATGTTTTAAAAGCATAAACGTTATATTATCAATCGTGTGTTTATGAACTGAGAAAAGGCTAAATAATTATTTTGTTCATGTTCGTTCAAATATTAAAAATGTTCATATAATTAACTAACTATTATAACAGTACTAGTAATCGCCTGCGACTCCGTCTGTGCGGGATTAAAAACGGGAATATAAAATGTCATAATATTCGATCATCTGTTTCGGAGGAGTATGGTAACTAACATTGTGACGTGAGAATTATATATATAAGATTAAAAACTTCACAAAATATAACAAAATAATCAATATTTCACATCTATACTAATATTATAAAGCGGAAGAGTTTGTTTGTTTGTTTGATTAAACGCGCTAATCTCAGGAACTACTGGTCCGATTTTTTTGTTGGTTAGTCCATTTATAGAGGAAGGCTTTAGGCTACATAACATTACGCTGCGATCAATAGTTTTAATTCCGAGCGGTCGGAGTCGCGGGCGACAGCTAGTGATTAATATATTATTTTTTTTAAATCTTTTCTTCAGTATTGAGTTTTTTCTAGTTTATTTTTTTTACAAAAACTAATACGATATTATTAAATACCGCAGTTAATTGTCATCTTGGGTCCAAATAATTTTACAAAGATCTCGTTGTATCATTTACCGTGAGCTTCTCAAAATCTCTGTCATTATCTTTGACAACACAGAGATATATTTTAAACGGGGATTTTGGTCTCAGAAAATCACGGTTAGTTTAACAAACTTTGTATCAATTAGCTAGCAAATATCTTTTACCAATGTACTTAGATTTTGTCATTATTTTGTATAATTAAATAGCTAAATTAATTGTACTTACATATATGGGAAAGAAATGTAATTTTTTTTTATTATGAATCTATCATACTCTATAAAATAGTTCACTTGTTCATAAAGATTTTTTTATAAAATTTTTATTTAATGTCACACGATTTTTAATAAAATGCATATCTGACTTATCTTTGGTTTCTGAGACCAAAATCATTGAGTAAAACACCTCTATGAGATACATTTTATTCAGCGATTTTGGTTTTGGAAACCTACGATTAGGTCAATAATTATAACTGTTGGTGTCTTGTATGGTCAGATACCATTAATATTTGCTCAAAATTTCCATTTTAGCAATTTTTTTTTTTAAACTTACATATTGAACTTGCAATTTTTTTTTTAAATTGTTATTAAAAATTTACTTATTTGATTTTTTTTTATTGGAACGTAAAATTAAATGGAAAGTTAATGAATGGAATGAATTCATTTCTTTTATGTGCACGAAAAGTTACCATGAAAATAACTTTTGATTAATAATATTAGCTATAAGTATACGTAATTTTTAATATAGATAGAATAAATGTATATAAAAACTCATTAGTTAAATTAATGAAGTAATAATGTAAATATTTTAATTTCTATGCCATTTATAAAAAAAATAATTGTTACACATTTGAAGTTCCTCTTATCTTTAACACAAAAGTAATTTGTGATCTTAATTTAAGTTAAAATTTTTAATTTTTAATTTAACTTAAAGTTTGTATCAAAGTACAAAAATAAAAGTATTTTGCACTGTCGTTTTGGTTATTTGAAATAAAAACTCTTCCTTATTAGTTCTTTAAATCTGTTTATTTAAAAAAAAGCGAAAGTCTGAATACAATGGAAGCACGAATATCTATGATTTGTTATAGTGCCGATTTAAAAAGTGTCTAATTTGAACGAGACCTTACTTCGAACTAACTAGGAATGAAAATACACAATACGGGAAACTAAAAAGGGTCATTAAATATAAATCCAGTGGTTGCCAAACTATCATATCCTAAAAACGTTGATTAAGTTTGACGTATTCTAATAATCTCTCCTGCCCTCACTGACCTCTATAAATGGACTGGCTATACGACGTGATATTTTGTGCCTATTTGATATTCGCCCTTTGGCGCTAAACCGTCCTTAACATCATCAGGCACGATGAAATCGGAACGTAACAAAATCTGTCATTTTCAAGCCTATCCATTTACAGAATGCCCTCCCTCAATTGACCACGCGGCATTTACCTTCAGCCAACCCGTGGATGCCGTATATTCGCAATAAACATAAACATAAATAACGAAGTACATTACAATTTCTTTCAAAGTTATAGTGTGTCAACACAGTTTGACAACCCCTGGAATTAATAGTGATTTTCGTTGTTTTTGTTCTTTTAGATTCCTAAAAATTCTATAGTAATAAAAACATGTTTTTATAAGATTTAGGAACGATTTGTTTTCCTAAAAATATATACATTTATTTTATTTAAGAATTTTTGAATACTTAATTAAATGTTCGATCATGTTGAGACAAATTAAGACATTTTTTAAAGATTTTCTCTATAAATACTTATTGGCTATTATTAAATGATACAGAAAAGTTAACTAGTATTTTAAATATTTTAATTCTGCTCAAGATCTAATACATTTTGTACTTTAGACAAAATAATCTATCGAAGATTATATTATAGGCTATCTATAAAAAAATATCTCAATTCAACTGAGTTTCTACTGTTGAAACACTTGTATAACAACATGTCATTCCATTCTGATTGAAATAACGAAAAATACAATTGTGCCGTACATATAACGTTCTATACGACGAAAACAGTTACATCTCATTATAAATATAACTCTTTTCGTCATATGGGTATGACCGGTATACAAGTTAGGTTATAGTATTTTACGAGTATAATTTTTTAATTTTTTTTTAACCACAGCTACTATCTGATTCTATCGTACAATTTGCCATCTATTTAACAACTATGCAATTCTATTTACGACTTATTTAAGAAAAATTTAGAATTTATATCAAAAAACTTTTAGAAACAAAACAATTACTATAACAATAATTTTAAAAATATTTTATCCAAATCAACTCTTTTAGAGATTACTAACACATATATCTCTGAATATATTTAATCACAGCAAAAAATATCAAATTATAAAACGAAATTTTACAATAACATTTCATCACAATGCTTTAGATAGAGTTTATTTTACATTTTTACAAGTTCATAAGTTCTTTTTACATTTTTTTAATAAAAAGTAAAGATAAAAATAACACTACACTACCTAAATAGAAAATATCTTGCTAATAAAAGTAAATCCAGGCATTTTTAATCGCATAACATGATTTCTTCTCGAATAAATTTGTGCCCGTGACAACAAATAAATCGCGTGAATACATAAATATCTTGCATTTACATCTTATTAATTTAAATTTTACTATGCATTCAATTTCCAGTCATTCTCTACTTTTCATCCAACAGTATACGATATATACTCTTTAACATGTCAATAAATATATCTTTAATACACCAATGCAGATCATTATCGTCAAAGCAAGTATGCGAGATTCTCGATAGTCTTATTTAATTAGTGAAACAGCTAAAGCGATATTTTAACACGTTATAAAATAATCAAATAATAATGCAAAACAAAATCTTTTTAAAATCAAACGTTTCTGGCTTTACAAGAAAATAACCTTTTTCTTTGTGTTTTAAAAAGGAAATCATACATGAGAAAACATGAAATGTTTCCGATCATCCATAAAACAACTTTGTCTATGATAGTAGATTGTCTATGACTATGTGAAGTTGTCAAATGTCATCATTTAGTTTTTGGCGGGAAATGTTTTTACTGCTACTGTCAGAAGACGTCCTTGGCGGCTTGTATAAGTGTGAGCAGGTCGTTCTTGTCGTCGGGTCAGGAAGGCGTGGCGACTGGAGCGGGCGCGGGCGCGGCTGGCTGCGACAGCGGTGCACCACCCGACTGCTGCGATAGCTCGGCCTTCACGCGCCGCGCGATGTGCGACCGCGTGTGCTTGCGAAGGTGATCTTTACGGTAGAAACCTATACAGAAATGTTTAATCTGTTATATTTTCAGAAGACACTGTATTATTACATAATTAAGTTATTATTGCAACGGATTTTCAGCTTAAATAAGCATACAAATTTTTAATAACATCGACGACTATAATTTTCTTCTTTTTTTCAAGCTATTGAACTGATTCCGAAAATTCTTACTGCCAATAGTATGTTACATTATTTCTAAGTAGTATAAAATATGATGGACATTGTTTAAAAATAAATGTCCTCTCTAGCGAATCCACGACGAACCGTCAATCACGAAGAGGGTCTAGTCAAGTTAGAGTACTGTTAGGGTCCTGTTACCTTTTCCACATTCGTTGCAAATGTGTCGCTTCTCGCCGGAGTGTATGACGAAGTGCAAGGTGAGCTGTTCCTTGCGCTTGAACGCTTTCATGCAGACGGAGCAGACGTGCGGGCGCTCTGGGTTGTGAGACTGCTTGTGCCGCGTCAGGTGGTCCTTACGCTTTAGCGCCGCGTTGCAGATGTCGCAAATGAACCTATAATAGTTCATAATAAAAAACTAAATACTTAACTTTACGACCATGAGTGTTATGTGGGTATTGCAAGATTTCATATACCATCAATAATATTAATTATTAAATTGGTAATGTTCAGAAACATAATTTTTAAGGAACAGGTATGTTAAATTACTTAATATTCCACGTAAGTCATGAAATTTTATCGCAGTTCATGTTGGATTCTAAAGATAATTGTGTTTTTTGTGACTCACCTCCTCTCCATAGTGTGTCCAACTAAATGTTGTTCTAGCAACCCCCTCTCAGGGTACGCCATGTGGCACTCGGGGCAACAGTACAGCGTGCTGCCGTCTGAAAATCATATAAATGCGACACATGATTACTATCCAGGACATCAAAAGAACCATGATATATTCAAAATATGACCGTTTTTCTATAGGAGTTTCACTCTTTTAAAAAAAGTTCTTACCACAAATTTGCTCTTATAACCTTATGATGCTAATATAATAATTTGGTAAAATTACCTAAAGCAGTCGTCAGTCGTATCTCTCCAGGCTTAGGCCGCGGTTTTTTCTCCTTTAGGGTTTTCTTTTTCTTTTTCTTCTTTGATATAGTTATGGTGGTAGTATTTGATGTCAAGTTCTGGTTGACAATAGCAGTCTGTACCACCACGCTGTTGACTGCGTTTGTCGCCACCTAAGATACGTAGTTGACTATTATGACATAATGTGTGGCGGTGGCTAAGGGCTACCCGCATCTATAAAACGTTTTCCCTCGTATAATCATATTTTACCTAATTTTCAAATCTAACAATAGAAAACATGACTTTATTGTAACTTTCCCTTTCCTCATCATTCTAGTGCCGTTATGGCTTTATCTACCGTTATCTTAATATCTACTTTTTAATGCATGTTGCCTTTTTTTTCAAATTTAGATACTTCCGTACTTAAAGCTCTCTAATGGCACGACTACAGTTAAGTAAATATTTCAATAGATGGTCTTTTCATCGTCTGGTAATGTAACTAATAATAATCGATACCGGAGTCAGTGAGGGTATGGTGGGCAGTGCATTAGCGGAGACGGCTGTGACAATTGCTGGCTGATCCTCGCGCTTTTCAGGTGCCGAGTACTTGAGGAGGTGGTGCAGTGGCAGCGGCAGCGCGGACAGATAGTCCGCTACGCCGCCGCCCAGAGTCTGCCACGTTGACGTGTCCGTCACGTCGCCGATACCTGACATATTTATCATGTGACTATTTTTCCGCATCTCCAAGACTAAAGCATTTTGTGTATTTTACTGTGCTTTCTTAATATAAAAAGAATTTCAAAGTGTTAGTCTATAATGTTCAAACTTCAGCGTACATAGCTGAAGTACCAGAAAATCCTTTTACCTACTAAAGCCCTATGTAAAATAATGGAAAATGAAAACTATGTACGGGAGTAACCAAAGTCACACCAATCTATAATTCTGACAATATTTAAGTAAACCAAGGCCTTTAGGTAAAATCTAAAGACGACACAAGAAGAAAAAAAAGGGTAAAAGTATAATGAGACCGATAACAAAGTTAAAGTTTTTAACATTAGAAGACTTTGAACATTGATTCTATATGATCAATTACTTACTGATGAATTCAGCTGGTTGTCCGTTGCGGTCAAGGCGGCCCTCCTGTTTTATGGCACGTGCGAACGCCGCCGCCTCCTTGGGTTCGTGCAGCACCACCACTAGTTGCTGCGTGCCCGCCTGCAGCGCAGCCCCGCCTTACCACAAACAAAGCATTGTGTTATGATAATGTTAGGTTACCAACGGTCATTGCATTACATTTCAGTCCTATTATATGCTGAAAAAAGAAAAATGACAGCCTCAATTAGAGGATAAAATACAAAAGAAGTTATCCTTGCTCATAAACCTACTAAGACCTCATGATAATATCCTGTGAGAGATGGTATTACTGGTATTATAAGAGGTGGCACTAGTTGTACCTTGCTGCTGCATCATGGTGGCCATGAGGTCATGGTGCAGCTCCTCCCGGTACTCGCGCTTGTCAATGCGTTGCTCGGCCTTCAGCTGGTGCACGGTGTCGGTCTGCACGTAACCCGTTCCGCCGCCCGCGCCCGCCCCCGCGTAAGCCACACCTCCCACGTTCACCGACGACGACGATATCGTCTGGTACTTCACTCCTGTTGCAATTAGTGTTTTCTACTTATTTCAAACTTTTTATATTCGAGTCTATGCTTCAATAGTATTGTCACGCCTCTTCATTGTGTCTTTTGACTGGTGAATGGGAATGGCGTTTGCCCCACTGGACACTTAAATGGAAAAGGATCTTACAACCCTTTTTAATATTAACGCTCATTTTCACTATCGCCGTTCCAAGCGCCACGGTGGCGGCGCGGAGTCTCACGTTTATATGTACGATTAAAGGAAAAGGGATCAATTTTACTTGTATTGTTCGTAGATTTACTATTCATAAATATTTATAATGAGTGTCATTGATTTGGCATATTCTTCAAAATATTGTTAAAATTAACAATTATGATAGGACGATGAGTATTTAGTCAAGGGCAAATTGTCGAACTCTGACCTATTTTCTAAAATCGATACCCTCATATGGTAATTGGAAAGTGGATAATTACCAGTGTGCAGGGGCGTGAGGCCGGCCAGAGCAACAGTGCCGGGTTGCGCAGAGCTGACCACCACCACGCTCTCAGCCTGACGGAACTTAACGTCAGCGGGCAGGGCGCCGGGCGCCACGAACTGCGCGCCGGAGCCCCCGGCCGATGCGTAGCGCGTCTCCTGCACCACACCGCCGCCGCCACCGCCACCTTCGTAACCAAATTTGGCTGCGAACTGCTGGATGGTCGGGATGGCCGCGCCAGCCGGGATGTGGCCCGTGAACTGCGCGAAGTTCATATCTCCACGGATCTGAAATCGCGACGGACATCGTCGTGTCAAGGTCGGAACGCGTTTAAGCCACGCACCACGGCGAAGGGTACGGCCCCTCGCCGGGCACTCGCTCGACCCCCGCCATTCTGCCTCACCCCAAACTCCACCGACGTTTCTCGCGCTCTATTTTTACCGGCCCACACTCTCACACCATCTTTCCTACAGGCGGATCTGGCGGCTCGAGGACCGGTCTCAGGGACTCGTAGGATGGTGTATTGGAATAATTACCTCTTTCCCGATGTATTGACAATTTTCATAGCGTTTTAATTATTCGTCTTCGATGAAATAAGCGAGTGCAGGCAGTGCGCGGTGCGCGGGCGAGGTGCGCGCGTGCGGGGCGCAGGCGCGTTGCGGCAGCGGGCGCGGTGTGAGGCGCGGGGGCGTAGACGAGCACACACAGGGCTGCTCTTTCACGAAACGAAATAAATATTGTTCCCATTCATGAATCTTAAAATAATTTAAAGGAAATAATTTATCTTACAAGTATATACGATGTCGTGAATTAAATCGTTTTCCGATTAACATATATTTTATAATGATTCATGAATAATGTAAATTAAAATGTTAAGAACCAATAATAATCCTAAGAACTTCTTTAAAAGTTGTAAAACAGTCTTCAAATGAATGTATCTGGGTCACTGGATTTGTCACCTTACCGAAACCCCTAACAGGGGTGTAACGAGGAGGGGGAAGTTAGGGCACGTCAGCGTCAATCTGCTGTTATATATAGAGCAACGTTTTGTAGAATGTATCTGTGAGGGTTATTGATTGATTGCATTTAAAATAAAAATATTGCAACATTGCGCAGCACCGCTTCAAATCGACGAGTATCTTATTAAATCTTGTCTACCGAAAAACTATGTATTTACAGTACTTTTATATCGAACAGATTACATTGTGTATATTTATCCTTTTCCTTTCATAGTGGACCTTACCAATCTAAATTTATCATTCACAAAGGATCAAATATATTTTACACCAAAACATTGTGTCGCCCAAAACAGACTTTCCTTTTTAACCGAACCTTTTAACGCAAGGTTGCGGACTTTTGATTTATGATTTATAAACGTATGATAAGAGCAAGATTTCCATCTTTATTCTTTTTATTAGCTTACTTACCGTCCACATCTTTTTACTGTCAGGTTCATTTTACTTAACACAATTTGGTGAAAATGTAATGAAAATCATTCATAAAAATCAGTGGCTTTTAATCTCATTAATAAATAGATTTCATACAAAAATTACACTTACATTTCGAAACTAAATTAAATCACCTATTAGTACGACTTAATGTTATAATACTTGTAACTACTAATTTCTTTACTCTAAAAATAGTAAAACGAAAAAAAATGGTAAACGTGTGACGAGTAAAAAACATACAAACGCACAAATAGAATACAAAAAATATTTAAATCTACTGAAAATTAAAATTTAGAATTTCATTTCTTAAATAGTAAAAAAAAATCTAAAAAATGTGATGACCTTTAACTTAATAATAGACCCTAAAATGACTAAAACTAATGCCTATTTTAATAGTTTCACCAAAAAAGCCGAAAGCACCTCACCGCGTGTTTCAAATGCCGACACCGGTTTTCAAACTTTTTGACTACGGAACCCTAGATTCTTCCGATACTCGTAAGTTCGCGTCCTTACTTTTTATTACCTTTTTGTATTTTTAAATTATGATCAGTACTTATTTTCATGAAAACCCCAGAAAGGCTCCGCAAAGCACACTTTGAGATACACTGTCCTTGAGAATAGATAACATTGGTAAGTAAATAATGCCTTTTACTTAAATGGTTGTAATATAGAAAGTTTGTTACATCTATTCATACTCACGTGATATTCTGTGAAATTCCACAGTCTAACAACGTTCATTTTTAATACAAAAACTATCCAATACCCTAAAAACTTATTCTAAATACAAAAATATATAATTCGAAATTAATTTTTATATCTACATTAAAGCTGGTAATGTTAATATCCTGTGGTAGAATCGCGTTACAAAGAATTACACAAGCGATTTGGCGGTATATTTTTACATGGAAATAAAGCAAATTTTCTCGTAGCGGTAAATATTCATTATAGTCGTTTTGACATATCTTGGCGGCGCTTAATTTTATTGCGCAAAACAGGTAGGTGTGTTGCCGATGACCTTGGGCCGCCAAGATATATGAAAAGAACTATACAAAATCAATTGCACCATGATTATATTTATTCTATTGTTTTTGCGTTAAATTATTTACGTTTTTCGTTGAACATAATATATTCGACAATCTTTTTTAAATGTCGAAAACACAAAAATTACTTTTACAATGAATGCCACTAAAAGCGAATGATAGAATCATTTGAATACCTAAAATCGGGTTTAAAAGACATTTTGAAAGTTAGTTAAATATCTACCATTTGTTTTTATTATGAACACTTACATTTAGGAAAATAATAAACACGAAAGTTCAGAAATCACAATGAATTCGGGAAATAATATAAAACATATATCACCAAATACCACAAATATACAGAAATGGTATAAATATCACAGTAACTGATATTTCAAATGTTATACGCTATTTCAAATCAAGACCATTGTAAAAAACACATCACCTTTTAAGGCAAAAAAAATTATACAATTTCATTCCACATTTTCGGACAATTTTACAAATCTTTTTTTAAGAAGAACTCTCGGCCACATGGGAGAAAATCCGTATCCTTGACCATAAGCCATTGGGGCTTCTATCTTTTTTTTTTCAAAATTTTAGATCTTTATTTGAAGCATAATTATTTTTGAATTACAAAAAAATTCAATTTTCACCGACTGAGGCTGTAAAATTATTATAAACGGTCTCAATAAAATTTATTGTGGATTTTAGCAAAATTACCAGTCTTCGTATGTAGGCAATTTATTGCATCTATTGAATTTCAATATGCACCGTAACATGAAACCTGAATCTAATGACGTCATAGCATCATGTTTACTTAGTACCATAAGCCAATTGAACACATATGTCTTTATTTTTAGATAGCGAATGTGAGGGATAAGTAAATCTCTTTGCAGTTAAAATCCATAGTAAAAAGTACATCAAACACAACAAGTCGGTAGAAGAAGATTTAAATAAATCTCATTTAATTTTTTAATTCCAATTCGTGAGCTATAACGTCACAATATGGCGCGGATAGACAAATTTATTTCTTCTCGAATAATTGTAATAAGCTGTGACGTACACATACATTTTCATATCACGTTATTGTGCCCGCGTAATTATTATACCTAAAAGGCACAATTATTCAAAATACTAAACAATGGAAAATTACAAAAATATTAAGCAATGATTTTAAAAGATAGGTAAAGTACAAAACACATTTAAAAATAAGTATGCTATATTAAAATTAGTGTTATATTTACACATTTTACATTAGTAAGACAAAAAAAATGTTTTTGTCAACACTATTGTAGAAGACTACATCTAGGATTATTACTACTAAGGCCTTAGACCTTTTAGTACATAGTCGTGAAAGCGAACCGAAACTGTAGAAAAGATAAACGTACAAAAAACGCAGAGTTTGCTTGATAAATCCATGCTAATTTCATATCAAAATTTATGTTCCTTACGATTCCGGTTCCGGGGACAGGTTTTAGTACAAAAATTCGTGATTTAATTTTATATTTTAACATGATTTTATTTCTCTGATATGTCGCATATATTATAAATCTAGTTGAAATTCATTTGTCATTAAAAATCATAAAGATTAAAAAAAATGATAGTATATGACCGTCCAAAATATTTTTAAACATTTTTTTTTGTTAATATTTTAGTACAAACAATTTGGATGATATTAACATTACCTTTACCAATTCAATTATCACCAAATTAATCGTTTTTAGTTCATAATTCAATCGATACAAATTTATGTGTATGTTGCCAGTGTTAAATTCATTTTTTCACTGTCAGTAATTGCCATATGTAAAAAATCATTTTTACACTTCAATTGCTACCAAAGATCACATTTTAACTACAATTTTCCGCTTTGATTGCTTTATTGTTGTAGTGTTAATAATTTCATTATTTATAATTTATTGTCACTATATTGCCATGTAAAAAAATACCCGGCCTTATCTGGCTCGGTGAAAGACTTACGATGGGTTTCTGAGTCCAAAATCTCCATTTAAAACATATTGGTATCTCTGTGTTGTCAACGATAATGACAAGGACGACGATATGATTTATATAGAGAATTTGGTGTCAGAAACCCACGGTAAGTTATCGCAGTTAGATATGTTAGAAATATAAGTAGTACCTACTTACATATACAGAAAATGTCACACAAGACATGACAAATACTTTCCGACAAAGATCTTATAATAGTTTTTTTTTTATATGAAGGAGCGGTACTTATGTAATTTAGTCTCACTTTACCAGATTCTTGGGACTATAACTAATTATTTTGTAATTTATCTTGTCAGACTTGTGCGACGTTGTGGGGTGGGCAGAGAGGTCACGAGTTGTCAGCGAGCAGCGCATCAAGCTGGCTGTGGGCGTCGATAGGTGCGTTTTGTGCCTGCAAGGAGGATACCACGTGCTGCGGTATACTGATTTGTATTGGCATCTGTGCATTCGAACTCGTCGGTACCTGGACATAAAATTATTTGCTATTATAACTAGGAATTTATATACGCTAGATTATAGTTTAGCAATATTGAGCTATTTATTCTTCTTTTTCTAAAGAGAATCAATCAATTACACAAACTACACGAGCAGCATTCAATATCATGACTACTTTTCCACAAAGCGACTATCCGTGCGATTTAGGTCACAGGCGCCTACCATTTGTTTAAAATGTAGTGGAAAAGGGGCTTATATGGCGATGTAATGTACAGTACTGACGTGTATGGTGATGCCGGGCATACTGGAGTCATGCGGCGCTGGCTGCGCGGTCTGGGCAGTCTGTGCGGCCTGGGCGAGCATCGCGGTCTTCTCTTCCGCTGCTTGTCCATCGCGCGCACGCCGACTCTCGTGCGACCGCGCGTGCTTGCGCAAGTGGTCTTTCCGGTAAAAACCTAACAAGGTAATTTTCTATTAATATCCATATGATTTGAGCTCATTTTCCTACAAAACAAGATATTATTCAACATACAAACGACATAGCATGCTTACTTTTGTTTTTAAATGCAAGATAAAAGAAACTACTGCACTCAGAATTATGATTAGTCACTACGGAACAGTTTTAGTGTAGATTTAATATGTGACATCCACACTAAGGGTTTGTAACATGTGTAGAGGGTACCTTTGCCGCACTCTGCGCAATGCTCGGTCTTGATGCCGGAGTGTATGACGGCGTGCAGGTTGAGGTGCTCGCGGCGCTTGAACCCTTTGTTGCACACCTTGCACTGGTACGGCCGCTCCGGGTTGTGGCCCAGCTTGTGCCTCTCCAGGTGCTCCTTGCGCTTCAGCCTGCACAACATAACATGTAAATTTTTAGAAATATCCTAAGTTCTAATATAAACTTCAAATATTTTCACAATATGAACATAACTATGTAACTTAATGTCAGTAGTGTAAGTAGCGGTCGCCCGCAACTTTTTCAGCACAGAATTAATCTAGCTTATATACCCGAGTGCATCGGCTACCTTCTTTTCAAAGTGCCGTCAACATCGATCCAGTCGTTCCGGAGTTTACCCCGAATAAATGCAGCTTTGCGGTAAGACCGAAAAAATTAAAAAAAAATGGATTTTCGTTATCAGCAACACATTTTTTTCGATACTGACACTCCATATACAATATAATTCGTCATTCCTTTGTCCCCTTAATTAAAAGTTCGTTTAATTGCTAATTAAGAAACATAAATACACTCACCCCGCACCGCAGATGCCGCATATAAAGCGTCTCTCAATCTTGTGTCCGATGAGATGCATCTCGAGCTGCTCCTTGGCGGGGTATGCCATCTGGCACTCGGGGCAGCAGTAGACGGCGGTGCCGTCTGATGCCTTGGCGATCACCACCTGTCCTGGCTTCGGCCGCGCAGGCTTTGGCGGCTTCTTCTTGTATTTCTTCTTCTTTTTCACTCGCAGTACACCATCTGGACATTATAAATGCGAATATGCAGATGGATCGATGTTTGTTAGTAAGTATCTCCAGCTTCTAAATGGATCTCGATAAAATTTGGCTTGGATGTACAACACAGTTTAAAAAAATTAGGTGTTTACGCCAAAAACGAGCTTGTGTGGATAGTAACGAAAACTAAGCCGCTACAACGAAAAACCTACAAACTCATTTTTAATTAAAAACTAGGTTATATTTAGTGTTATGCATTCAAGTAAAAGAAATTCATATTTTAGTTTGTTGTGTTGGTAACATACCTGAATCTAGTACAGGTTTCTCCTCGGAGTTGGCGCTGCCGTCCTCCATACAGTCCCTCTTCATGTTCAGTCTGATATACTGCTGCAGTGAGGGCGGCAACGCCTCTGCTTCCTAAACATATCGAACTACAATTTAAACCATTGAACCTTTATATGTCCTAGTACTTAGTTATTAATCGGAAATTTAAAATAAATAAATTAGTAGATGATTAAAATAGTATTAAAAACAATTTAAAGTTTGCCCAAGGTACAGAGAGAATGAGAGATGTCTCCCGCAAGATGGACCTATCTGGTCAAGGTTGCAGGAGTATCCTAGATGCAGGTAGCACATGACCGAACATTGTGGTGATATTTGGGGGAGGCCTATGCCCAGCAGTGGGCGTTTTATAGCTGAAGAGAGAAAGATAGAGATCATAACTTTGACATTTTTAAATTCCTAAGAATTAATGAATTTCAAATTCTGTATATATTGAATTTGATTAAAATTTCGATAATTATGTATTAAATAGTATTTACCTGCGGCGGCAGAGAGTTGAGGTACTTGACGAGCTCCGTGTTGTCCAGCACTCGCCAGGACACGCCCTCACAGCCCTCCGAACCTTGAGAGTTCTCCTGCAAAACATTACATTCAATATAATAAATATTTAAAGGGAAAGTAATTTTTTTTTCAATAAACAACCTATTAATAAAGTAAAATCAAAAATATATGTAACGTAGAATTCTATCACCGTGGATTTCTGAGACCAAAATCACCGTTTAAAACATATTGCTATCTCTGTTTGGTCAAAGATAAAGACAGGGATGACGATATGTTTTAAACAGAAAATTTGGTGTCAGAAACCAACAGTAAGTCAACTAACTTGTTCATTCACAAACATAAAAGCATACTTACACAAACACGATAAACCTTACCCTCCTGAGTGATTCGGGTACAAACTAGCTGAATCCGGTATGCATTGTAAAGCAAATTGTAATCATTTAATTGCAATTATATTATTTATAAACCTTTAATTTAATACATTTTTTTAGTAATAAAATTTCGTTTGAACCCATCCAATTTATATATAAGTGAAACATATATAACAACCATTAATTTTCATTTATATACAGAAGAAATAATTTCACCTTATTACTTCAAATAGACAACTTTATATATGTCTATATATAAAATTCTCATGTCACAATGTTTGTTACCATACCCCTCCAAAACGGCTTGGTCGAATTTTATAACATTTTATATTTCAGTAGATCTGTTAATCCCGCGCAGACCGAGTCGCAGGAGACATCAAGTATGTCTATATGAGTGAAAGGGATAGCAATATATGCTCGTCTCGTACTTACATTGTCGTTGGGCTTCTCAATACGCTCCTCTTTGATATGTACTTCAAAGTCGTTGTTGTTGTCACCTCGCGTGTTGTTGTTGAGCGCGTGCTGCTCAGACTCCACAACTATCTCAGTATTCTGCGCCTCGTATACCTATAAACAGTTGTTACACTTAAATAAAAATGGCTAAACTAATTTATACTCTAATCGGCACTAGTCAGTTCTAGAGACTACAATATCAAACTAGTAATTAACTAACAACAAGTTGGTGCCGATATTGGACTAACAATACTTGAGTGTTATCTTTTTTAATTTATCTAATATTATAAATGTGAATGTTTGGACGGATGCATGGATGTTTGTTACATGGTACTTCCAGAACGGCTGAACAGATCTCACTGAAATTTGGCACAGATGTAAAACATAGTCTGGAAGAACACATAGGCTATTAATTTAGTTATTTTAAAAATCCGCCCGCAGTCGCGGCGACAGCTACTGTTTTATAAAATTTGGAACAACATTAAGATTTTTAATATGCTTACGAAGAGTGTATTTAGTGCATTTAAGAATGGTTATAACTTAGATTTGTCTGAAATTGTCAAAAAAGTAAATTTCAACAAAAAAAATATTTGTTCAATAAATTTAGAAAGATTGTATTGCATATTATTATATCATACCCTTTGCATGTTTTGTAGAATCTGCTCTTTCGTATCCATGTTAATTTCCTGCGGCACAGCTGTGAGCACCTGGACACCTGAGTAATTACGATATTATGTAAATAACCTAATTTTACAGTTTCACTACAACATATAGATGAATTCGATGAAAACATAACTATAAAACAATTTCAGCTGTAAAACGCTGGAATCACAGACTTTTTATGAACATATATGTCTTTACAATTAATTTAGCTTTCCAAAATAAATCCATAGATAATACGACATTGTTAGGCAAAGATAAGTAAATATAATTTCTTATTTCCATTGAATTCAAGACAAGACATATAGTGCATTTTCTAAAGATATACTACCTGCATCTTTAAGTTTTAATATGGGTTTCTAATAACAAAACATTTATTTAAAAATATATTATCACACAACAAACACAAACAATACATGAACAAACAAAATTAACCATGGGTTTCTGAGACCAAAATATCCGTTCAAAACATGTTGTTATATCTCTTTAGTCAAAGATAATGACATCGATGATAATATGTTTTATAAAGAGTTTTTGATCTCAGAAACCAACACTAAGACAACTACAACAAATAATAGTGATTGAAATTATTATATAAATGAGATTTCCAGTGATTTTCAGCTATTGTAACATATTTAAACATCTTTCATTGTTTCAAAAACAACAGATAGAATAAAAATGTTTATATACAAGTGTTACGACAATGAAAACTCACCGTAGCAAACAAAAAAATGTATGATTGTGTTTTTTGTACTATAGTTAGTGACAGGTGAATAAGACAAGCACAAAACAATTTAAATATAACAAGTAATTCACCTGGTCTAATCCTTATTGTACCTGAATATTAAAAAAAATACTATATTTTATATAAAGAATTTACACGTTATATACAATTTCACTATATATTTAAAAAGAAGTTTAACAATTTCTTAACCACAGTTTAATTTTATTTTATATATTGATTATTTCGTATTAATATCAGGAATTTAATATGTTAAGAAAACTCACCATCAGGCATGGCGTTCCCCACCAGCTGTATACCATTTTGTTCATTGTTTTCTGGTGAATATGCCAGGGTAAGTACTGCACCGCCTATATAACAAAAAATATATTTATTTATAAAAAGGTTGCACCAATTGCATGGACAACAAGCACAAGCAGGTACAACACACAGATAATAAAATCAAGGAACATAATGATAGGTGTACACATTTTTTATTACTTGTTTTTGCAAGATTGGATAGATTGTTATTTCCGAGTGACTCCAGAAATGCCACAGAAATGGATCTGGACGAAATTTTAAAAAGCGTTAGTTGAACCATTTTATTTTTAATCGTGTGTAATCGCAGGCGACATCTTATAAAATATTTACCTTGTTGATATCCTTGTATAGGTATTTGCATCTGATATTTGGGTTGCTGCTGGGCTTGTAGCGTTAAATTCGGACTGAGGACTTGAATTTGTACTGTTGGCTGCGGATCACCTGCAAACAATACGATTTTCAGGTTACTTACATTTGCAAATTACACCTTAACCCTTAGTAGCCTAGAGTTTCAATTTTGATACCAATTTTTTAAACCGAATGTTTACATTACTATTAGTTTATTTTATAGGTTGGCTGTACCTATTTTACTGTTGAATAATATTCTTTCCAGCGAATTAAAAAAAAACAATTTTTTTTTATTTTATCAAGCAAACACAGTAATGTTAAAAATAAATCACTTTCGTATGTAAATCAGGCTACTAAGGATAATTTTGACTGGAATAGAAGAGTTCAGGAAGTAAAGTAATTAAAGATTTGATACTTTTTTTAAATTTCTAAAATATAATCCTACACACTACTAACTTGACTAACTATTATTAATTATAGGGACTTTTTTCACTACATACTACATATTAACTTAGCGAGGTTCACAAGTACAGACCTGGTTTAGCACCAGGCAATGCTATAGGTACGGTTATGAGTTGTGGTGTCTGCAGTGTGGCTCCACCATCCAGAGTACGGACATACTGCATGCCATCCGGTAAACTGACACCTCCCATGACACCCACAACCTGCAAATAATACAAACTATGATATCATATCAGGCATGTTTGTTTATATTTACCGAAGAAAATTTCTAGGTGGTAAGATTTCATATAAAAAGTTATAAAACTTTGAAAAAAATATTTTAAATTTTAATTATTCTGATTTAATAACAGTAAAATTTGTAATCATTCATGTAACAGGATATTGGAAGTGAAAGTTTTAATACTACCTACATTTAAAACAAGTTATCAAATGAATTACCAAGATGTGAAACTATTTGCAAAATCTTATTAATATAAAATATTTAGCTGGATGGATGGACGTTTCTTTGAATGAATCTTGATAATGGCTGCGAGGATATTGCTGAAATTTGGCATAGATGTAGGCCATAGTCTGGAAGAATACATAGGCTAATTAGTTTTGTTTTCCGCGCGGTCGGAATCGCAGGCGATAGCTATATAGCTACTGTATTAAATAATGTAGTCATTTAGCAACTAATACATCCATGCATGTTAGGATTGTTCACTGCTATAGTACCTTGTGTCATTATCATTACATCATGCTTCCTTATAGTTAAGTTACATAGGATTGTTGAATATTCATTGAATCAACAGTCGCTGTATAAATGTGGTAGAAAGGACAGAAGTATGGCAGGATCACAGCAAATGTCCTTAATCTGCCTACCACTCAGACACACAGGTTTAATTATGTTTTTGTTGTTTATAACAAATACTAATTAATTTAATATATACCTAAAATTGTTTGATTATTTTGTTACTTGGACATTGTTTACAAAGTTTTATAAAAAGTAAGATTTTTGTAACCTGTACCTGTTGCATGGTGCCACCATTGTTAGTTATGTTCTGCTGTAGTTTGGCCACCGGTAGCTGGCCTGCCGTTGTTATAAAATGTGTCCCCGCTCCCCCCACCGCTGAGAAAGCAGTAAAATTCATCTCCGAGTCTTCTTCACTGCAATAGTAAACATAGAACTATTATTATAAATATACAATTAATTCACGTATATTGTAATGCCTAGGACGAACCATGTTGGAATTTCTTGTGTTGAAGGCTATAACCCACTCTAGGTGTCTGCGTCAGGGAAGTATGTATATTTATCTGATTATAATATCTTTTGTAAATATTTAAGTATAAATAGTTACAGAAATTAACAACTTTTTCATTGTAAATGTTACTTGCCATTTACAACAGTAATTAGACTTTGTTTTTAAAACAACGATACTTGAGAATAATGGTAAAACTAATACATTGGCATTGTTAAAAAACTTGGAATAAAATGTTTTTAAATTGTGTAGTTGAATACAGTTTATAAATGTTGTTAGATTTAGTTATAGCAAAATATTCGCAAATCTAGTGTTTAGAAAACTTGCTCGACTGCTTTTCCTTTCCAAAATTCTTTAGTTACACAATGGTTGTGTAAACCGTAGTATATATTTACTATTAAAGTTGTAGTAATACTTATTTTTTAGTCATTTTGTACATTTTTTATCATTATTAAGTCATCATAAAAATACTTGTAATCCGAACAGTCATCATTAAAATATCTAAAAATCATTAATATTTTGCCCATACCAAGGGGCATCCTTGTCTCTTGTAGGCATCTTCTGCATGTCGCACATTACACCCTCCACTTCGCGGCGAAGCGGGAGAAAATAAGATTAAAAAAGCACTGTCCCACTTGAGTCATTCGGTCATCACTAATATCCCCACGACGGTACCACCACCGCGCGCCACTACGGGACCACAGGGAACCAGATGGTAGGGCACATACTACTTCTGACCGCCACACACGCAACTACACTAAAACGTTAAACGTCGAGAGGCGAAAGATGATCGCAAACTACTACTAATAAGAAAGTGGGTTAAAGAAAGTTTTTTATGCTGGCTCAATAGTTGACCAGCGAGTTAGTTATACACACTATGCTGGCAATTTGATTGTACGTATGTCTGTGCATGTAGCTCTAACATGCTCCTCACTTTCTCTTTGCTGTACTTTCACAAGATTCATGTTGAGGTGTGGTTGTGGTTCAGTTAACGTAGGAAGCTTGCTCATTGAGTAATCACCTTATATTGACTGTGGGAAATTCATTGTGATACTGTTTCCTTAATTACTTTTTATTTTATGTTATTGTATATACTACAGTAACCTTTCAAGTATTTATATCAATTATTAATATTTTTAAAATTATTATAAATGAAATACTGTAATGTATAAGATAGCAATTTATGAGATGTAAGTGACAGGATATATAAACTGGGTCAATGGAATGTTTCTGCTATTATAGATGTACTGGTAATGATAATGAGTAATTTTTATTAATTTCTTAATTTAGTTTATTGCAATGTTTGAGTCAGTGAAAAAAATTGCTAGCTTTATGATGTGCCAACTCTACACCAAAACAAGTTTATATGTTTATGAAAATAATTCTGTGTGTAAAGTCAGAACAAAGAAATTCCACGTGAATAATAGCTGTATCATTTGTCGGAATTTTAGTTATTACGCAATTATCTACAAATAAAGTTGTAAATTTATCAAAATTTAATTCATAACTTTGTGTTTGAAATCCATATGAGAGGGCGGATCGAGACGGAGAACGAAGGTTGTTCACCCCTACCAGTTCCTTTTGCCAGCGTCCATCACGCGCGGCGCGACGCATCCCCACCAAGATGCGGGATCCCCTCCATGTACTATCGATACAACACCAAATCACTCCCGCTCCCGACTCCTTCCTCCACCGACAGGGAAATCGCGAGAGGAGGGGTTGTGCGGCCCTCACGCTCGACAGCGGCACTCTCACCACGGCGCTCAGGGACAGCCACGCGCCCCTCTAACGGTACAACAAAGTACCGCTACCGAAATAAGGTCACGGTTTTTCATATTCAATAAATATGGCTAAATTATAACACGTACCTTCAATGTAGTTGGTATTTTCACACATAAAAAATGGCGTTTAATATCTTGATACAATAATAAATTCAAGTTATCTAAACAATAAGTCGTAAACAACAAATTCACTAACTATACAACACATGAAATCCGCCATTACTGTTTTGACGTCTTGAAAACTTATCACCAGATGGCGTATTAATTGCTATTTTTTATTTACATCTTTGTCTTTATTTAATTACGGAGTCGTAAATTTTTAGATTATTTATTAGTTTTTACGGACCTCATAATGGTAACAAGTTAGGAAACCAAAAAAATCAGCAATTATGTAAATGTTAGGTATATGTGTTCTAAAATGAGTAGGCTGTATAAATAAATAAAAAAATAATATAAATAAAACAAAATTTTGTTGTTACAATTTTCGCAAAATTTTTATGTAATTAACTAATTTATTACATCATGTAATTATATACATCATGTAATAACTAAGGTAAAAAAAGTTTATTCACATAGATTAAATAATGTAAACATGCAAAGATAACAATTGTTTTAATTCTAAAATAAGATTACAAACTAGTAGTTTAATAATACAGGTACACAACTTAATTCACACATTATTATAAGTATTTTAAAAAGGAAACTGTTGCCCTGATCTTTGTATTCTTTCTAAATGCAGTTCAAATAATAATTTATTTTCATAATAATATCTGCTTTGTGATGATGTGACACCAGGGTCATAAGTCGGCGTACTGTCAGAATTATGGTTAGGATTTTGAGAAGATATTCCATTCTCCTCAGCCCTTATCCCATTTATATGACTAGGATCTGCAGATTGAAGAATAGGTTGGCTAGTGAGGTTGTTATTTATATGTAAGTTATTTATCCTTTTCGATAGTGGCATGAACTCGCACGTGTCATCCTCACGAGTTCTTTTTCTGAAACCATAGTTGTTAATCAGTAAAATTACAAAACAAAAAGAAGAGATAACTTTGTTGTCGATATTTTATGTACCTATTTTCTGTCATATTACTAAATATATAATCTCCATTGCTATCAAAACAAGTATTCCAATTATACGTGGAATTTCTTCCAAAAGTCATCTGCTCGTAATTCTTTGCTGTTGTAAAAATATTTAAATATTTGTAGAAAAAGGCAATTCAGCACAACAGCAAGTCGAACAGAATGACAGTTCAACATGACAGATTAGACATTCGATTTTGACATAAACACTGGCATATTTTTTATAGAAAAAGATTTTATGGCTTCTATAAAAGAGATTTTTCGTGAGATTAAAAATATTCAACAACTTTTAAATGAATAAGGACGTGTCTATATAGTAATTGTAGGAAATAAGTTGTTGTATTTATTTTATTCGTTGAGTGTCAACGTTTTCCGAAGTACTATTTTTCATATGGCAATTTCACGTATTCATTTAATTCCTTTGCCAATAGAGTGCGCTGTACTATCCACTGTTCGTTCATAATTCTGATTTCCGAGATCAAAGTAGGTATACGAAAAATTATGACCAGCATAGCAGCATAGGTTTATCGATTCGATTCCCAGTTTCAGTCGTTTTTATTTGAAATGTACTATAAAGACTTATCACCAATTTGATAAATTACCTAATAGAAACTATGTATCGAGTGAAAATCGTTGTTTATACTTAATAGATTTGTGATATATGAGAATATTGTTCGAACAAAAATAGCAGCATTAAAATATAAGCAAATACCTAAAATTCAGGTGTTTGACCCGCAGGTTACTAGACCATCGCATATAGAATAATGTTTTAATTAATAAAAGCTTTCTAAACTCTTCGAAATGAGGAAGACTTTACTTAAAATTATTATTATCGTCATTAGCATTTCATTAGAAATTTTGGTTTTCATCACTGGCCGTACGGAAAAAGTAAAAACAGTTTCAACCACAAAGGTTAGCGCTTATATAGATAATACTTAAACAGTGTTGCTATAATTTTTAATTAATTCAACGGATCAATTTGATTTAATTATCTTTCAAATAGATACAGCGTATACTTTTTATAGACTCATTTGTAATGCGTTTATATGTACTTGTAGGGCAGTTTCGCTTGCAAATGCATTGAGTCGATTTCTGGCCAAACATGGTGCGCGAGGAGATATGCAGTCTTTTTATGGCAAACGAGAACAGTCATAAGGTTCAGTTTGCTATGGGCAGATGTTATATTGCCCTTAGGATGGAAAGATACAACTTAAATATACAGCGCTCTCACTTGAGTGTAATATGGTAGTTTTATGTACCTAATCTAATGAAAATAAACACTTAAATATTTGATGGGTATTAATTTACCTATAAAGGTAATAAACCAATCTACTAATTAACTCATTTAGTTATAGGATAATTTATTAAGCCCATAGAAATGGGTTCATTGTCTACGGTTCAGTATTACGTGGCCTTCGCCCTTGTGCACTTATGGTTAAAATAAAACGAAATGAATAATTCTTATTTCTTACTTGCTTTCTAATGCATTGCGCTATAAAGTTAAAACTTAAAATAAATAAGACATTCGGCGAAATTAAGCGGATTAGAATTCCGTTACAGCAGTGTCTCGGTAGACGATGGTCAGAAATTATCAAGCCACGTGCTCGGCAGAGCGTGAGTCTACGTCTACTCTATGAACACATTATCGACTGTTTTAAGATATTATTTTAGCTTGATGTAAACATGCTTATTTTAATGATACTGTGGAATATCTAGGACATATAATGGTATTGGGACGATCCCAATTAAAAAACGTAATTGGTAATAGTAGTTTTTCCTATTGTTTTAACCTGTACTTCTTCACTGCGATTTGTCCAATGAAAAATTATGATACTTAAACAGTAGCCTGACTTTTTAACTCATACATAAGTGCACAAAATTGATAATTTGTTCCAACCTTTATTTGTTGTACAGAATCGTACGGAATTCGGTCTATATACGGTTCTAACTGCACCTCTACATATTGTGTAAAAAAGGGCGTGGGAAATCACATAGCGTAACCTATATCTAGTGAAATAGACCGATAGACAATCTGTTGTTTTTTATTCTTCCATTCTATATTGATTGATACGATGAGACCCATATCTGATCAACCATGTCGTAGACATAATAAAGTATTTATTACATTAACATTGATACTTAATTCTTTAAAAATCTACTTCCAGTTAAGCAACTTCTTAGCATAAAGAAATTGTTTTAGGGACCAATATATAAATATTTAACATCTAAAATCTAAACATGTTTAGATTATGAATAACTAATTGTCGTGTTCTTAGCTATAATACACTACCGCCTAATTCTAAAACGCACATAAATACGTTAGTGTTCAAACTCCTGCTTTCTTTAGTATCACATCAAGTAAGCAGTGTCAATTAATTTGCCATAATTCAATATATCTTCATAAAACACTAAAAAATGATTGGTTAGTGTTCTCAAGAAGACACGGTTCTCAGTCAGTGTGGTTCATACTTTCTCTATTCATACACATTCTCGTCACTTTCACATAGACTTGTCTCGTCTCCGCTAATGAGAACCGCGAAATTGTACGCGAACTCGGCTAATCGTATACAATGTTACATTCTGCTTTATTGTTGCAGTCTTGCATGACGCTGTAATGTGGGCACCGTAAAACTACCGTACGTTGAAGGTACCAGAAATATGCCTATTGACTTTAATAGCGGTTTCCATTGTTATAATCTGGCTGCAAGGCAGAAAAGCACAAGCGTCGAGACAAAACGGTGGCACGGCCGTACCATCCTTTTCGAAAAAAACTATGATAATAATGTGCTTTAATTATAAAGAAAAGTATTCGTTTGATGTAATTTTTAATTTTCATGTTCATTAATTGTTTCATAATGAGAAAACCCAAGGTAACACAAATTACACGTCATAATATTAATAAAAATGAATAAAAGAAAGTGGGATCGCGTGTTACGGTTATGTTAGGTCTTCAATGCATATAATTTGTCGTAATAACTATGAACTAATATTCTTTAACTATTCGTTCACTAGGAAATTAGGTTAAGTGACTGCATAACCAGTCCAGCAATTACTTAATAGTGATCAATTCTAGGATGTTAATAAAATATTTAAAATATAAAATATTTTTTTGTAGAATTTGACCAACTTATCGACATACCAATGAAATTAAATCTACTTTCTAGAAATTTCTTTACAAAAAGTGTCTGCGTACTGCATACGTTTTCTTACGTACATAGGAATCATAAACGGCTTACAAAATATATTAGAACATTTATGTTTGTGATAAAAGATAACCTATCTTTACATATTGCATCACGCTATGTACATAATTCCCTATTTATATATTCTTATTTCTTACCATGTGATTATAATATAGTTGTTATGTATTCTTAAAACTGGAGTTGAGTTGTGTCAGACAAATATGTTTTTCTGATGTCTCCGAGCTCCTAGCGCTTTTTTATCTGTTCTACAATCAAAAAGACAGCTTCTGCTATTTATCCACGCTTAAAGGTTACATAGAAAATACTTCGCATAAATTGTTTGGTTACAAATTAAAATATTGACGTATGCATTCTAAAATCTAGTCGCCGTAAACAACAAAATGACGTAACTCTGTCATGTCGATGAAGCGTAACGTATGAAATTCAAACAAACGGTTTCACTCGACTCCGTTCAAGGTCGGCTCGGTGAGGCTCGGCGTCTTCGGAATTTTAAAACGTGACATGTTTTTAAGGAACATCACGTCATCGCTTCAAATACAATAATAGACATTAGGAGTACCACACTAATTACATATCACGGCTTAACTCTGTGTTTATGTCTAGGTATTCGGAGTGCCTAGTGTTGTTTGACCGCATTGACGGGTCTGAAACTAGTCAGTACCTAGACCGAAATACACGTGAGCAAAGTCATGATCAGAAGCACTGTTTTTCCGTCTAGTTTTGACATATGACCATTTTGGTTTATAATCACTTACATTTTGCAGTACGTAGTTGGGAAGTTTCGATTAAAAATAGACAGTCTGTTCAATTCCTTAGTCTGTAAGTTAGTGGAATTGCTATGGGCCTGTCAAAATGTGTCATAATTACGGTTAGTCCAAAAACATTATGCTCAAACTTATGCAAACATGTTTGATCCATATTCGACATGTATGTGCACAACTTGACCTTAATATCATTAACAGGCAAGTTAACTTATACTATAAAATTGATAAGTCACGCCTATTCGCATACAATTTTCTAAATTCCGGCCTATAAAAGAAACTTTGGTGTTTTAAGTTGCCTAAACTATGAATTAAATATTTTTTTCAATTTCCGTAGAATTCCACTCCGTATATGCATTTAATAGT